GACTTCAGATGAGCAATCCAGCAACTAGTTATCACACGTCGAAGTAATCCTTCTTGAATAGCAAGTGTTTTGCAAGAACTTCTCCAGAGAGTAGAGCTCTTCAGCTTTCCTCCTGAGCAGGGGCCAGGAGAGCTGAGACCCCTTACCACCCTGCCAGGATGTCTCTATCAGCAATCCCGGGTCCCGCAGTGTTTTCAAACTGCCATTCAATATATTATGAATGGTGTTGCATTCGGTGTTTGGGGTGAGGTTGCACCATCCCATCAGACTACAACTTTCTCAGACAGATGAGTCACCACCCCAGTGATTATAACCAAGCGCTCGCACAGGCACACCAAGCAACACCAACGCAGAAGTGGAGGATGCAAACCAGGTCTGGAGCTCACCCCCCCGATGACGTGGCCGACGACCTGCGTGCAGACTGACAGTTTGCATGGATTGTAGATACATGTGTGGGGAGGGGACTGACCTGTTCCCCTTGGTGCTATTTACACACAAGGCTGGGAAGTTGCACCAGAGGTAGGGTGGCATGAAAGTTTAGGAAGAATGTGACTTTCAGCTGGCATATTGTAAAGCACAGTAAGGCATTTTAAAAATTGTTGTAAAAATGGCATCTTCTCACTCAGCAGATCTGGTAATTCAGTGTGGTATTTGTTCACGTTACTGATCACAGAAATATGTAATTCACACTTTTCCATTCCACTCAGAGGTGACACAGCTATGAAAAAGTTAGCAAGACACTAGTGGTTTCCCCACTCTGCCTTAACCCAGAAGTTGTACGGTTTTTACTAGACCAATGCAGTTAAACAGCTACAGTTGTAAGAGAGAAAATACATCTCAAATGGAGTAACCATAGTAGCAAGAAGGGCAATGAGCTACACTTGAATTACTAATCTTATAAAACAATGATGTGGTTATACCCCAGTGCAGTTGTATCAGTAAAAAGGAATCACATGTCTATACAATGCTGCTGTACCAGTATAAAAGCTACGTGTGAAAACAGGCTGTCAGACATAAAATCGTTATTTTTTCATCTGTTGCAAAGATTTTTCTATTGTTAATGAATGTATTGATAGAAGTACACTGTGACTCATCACATAGCAAAAAATTTCAATTAGATTTGTTTGCTTATGAATTGGCTGGGTTTGCTTCTGATTTTCCAGGAAGCAACCCCCAAAATAGGCATATTAAAACATCTAGATACAAATACTGACTTCCTTGCTTAAACATAAAAAACTCTTCTCTGCCAACAGCACCGTTCAGTTCCCAATAAGAACTTTGCAAAGTCTTCCTTTAACAATTGCCTCCCCAAAGTAGGAAGCACCAGTTTTTATTGCTATTAAAGGTAGAAAATAATGTGAAACACTGTCATTGCATGCCATGGTTGCCCAGTTACCACACATTTTAGTTAAGTGTTGTGTAGGCCAATATTCACTCTATCATTTCAATGAGCACAACCACCAAAAAAATCTGGAAGGTATTTTACTAATATTTTAATGTTATAATTTAATTTACATTTATGAAAATATTGCAGTTAAAGTTTAAAATCACTGAAGATTCTGTGTGTTTGAGACTATCATTCTCAAAATTTACATAGTAATGAGAAACCATCGACTTATTTACTCCCTTAATTACTTAGCTATCAAAATGTCAGAAATCTTGGGTATACAGGCACATATGGATTGCTCTCCTATAAATCCTTGACTGCCCCCTCTCTTCTGTTTTTGCCTAGGGCTGCAAAAACTTGTTAAAGTAATTTCCGTTTATGATTAGAGGTGAGTAACCTTCCTTTGAGTAACATTGTTTAAAAGGAGATGTAGTTTTATAGGTCTGAAAGGTATTGAGAACTGCACACAACAGTAACACACACAAAAAATCCGAAACAGTGTAATATTTATTAAAAGTTTCAAGTGCAGATGTGTTTTGAAAAGCATACTTCATTTCACATATTACTTGTCTCAAGAATGACTCTGAGAATGCTTTTGATTATATCAAACATACTTTCCAAATATTTTTTTCTATTTTGGCCTTGTTTGGAAGTCAGTTATATTTTTAAAACTTTGTATTTTCAGTTCACACTTCTTGAAGTCACTTTGGGTTACTGAAAGTGACCTCACTGACTTGACACCAAAGCACATAATTATTATCTAACCATAGCATAAAGTAGAAAACCGTATGCGAAAAAGCACATAGTTGTCCAAACTAATACCTGAAGTATTAAAGCAAATGACAACCTTAGTAACCTGCCTTTAGTAGAAAAGGTTCTTATTTTTAAATATGGTGCAATCTAAAGCAATATTATTCCTCTCCCTCCAAATCATACCACCCCAGACATAAAAAGCCACTGTCCTGGTGGTTTACCTAGACAATGTAAAAAAATCTCTAGCTCTAGCTGTGTACACAGGCTAAAATGACTAACATTTACATAGTGTACCGCTTCCTTTTTCACTGCTAGCATTTCGGATCTGAGGAGCCTGCATTTCCCCATGAATAAACACCTGAAACAGCACCAAGCTTCGAAATGGATTTCACATTCTCTGTTTGACCATAAATGTGACAAAAATCCAAGTGAAAAGAAATATTTGGGCTCCTAAATAATTTTGAAGGCTATAGCGCTACAATATAAACTGTCTGACCTACACCACCAGTTTCAGTGAGTGCATTTTTGCGTGGTTTCTCAGAATGAGCTAGGAGGCTAGGAAAAAAGTCATATATTCTCTAAAGATACAGGATTTCGACGGGTTGTATGCTTTTTAAAGCAAGTTCCACAATTCACCTTCGAAGTCCAGGCCGAATTAGTAAATCCTTCCTGTTGTTTTCATGAGGGACTATGACAGCACTCAGTAATTTACTTCCTTCGTTACCAGCTAACGACGTTATTTCCCATCTCCTGATTTTCTAAGCCTCATCTTGCAAAGATTACGCTTCTTATAGATCGAACCCTTGTTTAACCAAGATTTGTTGCTTACTTATGCAAGTCTTTCTCGCTCAGATCCAACACTTTGACACTCAGTATTCTCTTAGAAGGAAACAGAGTCTCCTTACCTGGATCCCAGGCCGATGAGGTCCACGTGGAGTCGAATTTTAAAGAATATACACATTTACTATATGGACAATACAAACTTTTCCCTAAACTTGCGTTTAGCAGGAGAAGCTGTCGCAAGAAAACCATAGATTTTTAAATCAAAAGAAGATTACTATAGGAAAATTATCCATAGGGCTCTGTGGGATTTATATGAACTTCAAATAAGCTTAGCCAAAATAAAAAGTACTTTTCGTAAGCTTGTTCTAAAGTAGTTAACCAAGCAAAATGTGTTGATTTATTTGACACAGCTTCCAAATTTAAAAGACTTTGCATCTGTATTTTAAAATAATACTTTAAAAAAATAGTTAAAAGAGATAATGTGGAGGGGTACCTCTTTCACAGAATCTATAAATCTCTGTGCGGGACTTTATTTATTGGAAATTCAACAGAAATTTCTTATTTAATCAGAATATCCTTTGGACAGAATTCACATCAGATATTTCATAACAGGAAACCAGAAGTTTGTGGGGGTTTTTTGTAGGGGTTCTAGTAAAACATTCATACAGTTTAGCCATAGGCATTTTCTCCCCCCCACCCCCCAATAGTTTCAGTGTCTTCCAACAATTTGATACATTTCTGAAATGCTTTTACAAATGGATAAACTGTCCTCCACCAGAAAGAACAGTAAACAAAGCTTTAGCCAAACTATTTATTGAAAACTGAAGATGCAAATAAGCGAGAGATTGTTTCTCATGGTTTAATTATAGGCACCATAATTAACTCTTTATTACACAGGTTTCCTAAAGGGCTTCCATAAAATATTATTTTCTTCCTCTAAATTAGAAAGATTATTATCTCTAACTTTTGAAAAAAAATTAAAATTGACAGATATGGAAAATATTTAAAACAGGTTTTGAAAAAAGTCACAAGCAGTACATCTCATAAATTGAGATTTTTGGCTCTGGTATAATTACCCTGCTTGAAATGCATACTTGAAGATGTGTAAATGTACTGTGATTTACTCAACCTCACACTGCATTCATGCAAACAGCACCCCTGTTAACGGTACTTAGAATAATAAACCACACTAGTGCACTGAATCCTACAGCAAAGCCTTCAGGTATAGTAAACAAAACAAGAGTTCAGTAAGATTTTGAGTGCAGATACTGCATAAGCTGATTTTTTTCTGTATTTACTGTAGAAATACATGGAGTTGCACAGAGGGACCTACATCAAATCCAAATACCAAAAAGGCTGAAAGGGAGAGAATGACCTTCTTTTCTGACCTCTTCAAAGACCAAGTAAAGGTTTGTTTGTCTTTCGACTCTCGGATAAATGATTATGCCGTTCCTGTGTATCGAGCAGCTTTAAGGAAACAAAACACATCCAAAGGTGCTAACTTTCTGCTGTTCATCATCTGCTGCAGAAATAAACTATGGCCAGAATTCTTGAACAAGGACAAAAAGAATTTATTTTATAAAACCCTTAGTTCTCAGAACTTAAGCATCTATTTTCTGCTATACATTTTTTTGTATCAAAAGCACCAAGCTGATAAATAGTTACTGTTCAACTGTCAACAATTGCAAAGACACCAACGAAATTATCAATGTGAAGAAGCGCTAATCTCTTCCTGAAAAAAGAATTCTGAGTGGGCACCAGTTTACCCCGAGCGCACCGAACTGCTCAGAGAATTGCTTTTGCCTCCACTGTACTTAACTACAGTTATCATTTTAAAGGTTCAACTTATTTTCTCTCTCTACCCCAAATTTTGTGTTCTTTCCTCCTGATTTTGTGGGAAACTTCAGTTCACAGCCCTTTTTCACAATTTCAAATTTCTTTTGTTATGTACATCTAGGCACCTGAGCAAGACACACTAGAGAATGTTGCAGCAACACTTGTTATTAAACTGCCTATTTTTGTTTACTTACACAATTCCTTTTTTTCAATTACATGCTTTCACACTTTGCTAAAATATTTATTTACATGCTACTTGTTGAATAAAACTCTCCAGGTCAGCTGGGGAATCGTGAAGTGAATCATTCGTGCCTTGACTTCTGAGAAACTTTCGAAGGGTATCCAAAGCACTCAAAGTCTCATTTTTTGATGGTAAAGGCTGCTCAGCTCCCTGAAATCGATCACCTTCATCCTCATCTTCATCACCAACATGTCCCAGCTTTATCTGCTGTTCTTTCTTTGGCACACATCCTTTCATTATTTGTGGGCATTTCGTAAGTTACCAAGCCATCATCTAGAGCTGCATACTCCTCCAAAGATAAACCTTCTGGAAACTCCACTCCAGCTGCCTGTGCATGTGCAATCAAATCAAAGTCACTTTCAACCTCTGTGTCATTACCATTTGCTTTGGTTTCTAATCTGAATCCTGCTTCATTGTAACTTTTTACAACAGTCTCTGGTGTCACTTCCCTCCAGCACAGGTACAACATCTCAACTGCATCAAGAAGAGTCAGCATAAACTCTTTATTGCCTTCTACAGAGTCAACAAATCTCTTGATAAGACAGTGCCTGTATTTAACCTTCAGACTTCTGATAACCCCTTGTTTCGTAGCTGTACATGAAGAAGAGTCCGGAGGAGAGAACATTAATTTGACAGATTTCAGGTTCTTTACTTCTGTGTGAGCTGGGAGAGAATCAACGAGAATAACTACTCGTCGCTGCTGTGCTTGAAATCTGTCATCAAGTTTACACACCCACTGTTCAAACACTTCTGAAGTCATCCACGCCATATCATTTGCTTCATAATCCACAGGTAGCGACTTCCCATCTTTAAAAGAGCACGGACTTTTGTTTTTTCCTATAACAAGCAAAGGAAGTTTCTCGGAGCCATCCATATTTGTACCCACCACGACGGTTATTCTCTCTTTGCTTAGTGTACCTACAGAACAAGTTTCCCCTTTAAATGCAAATGTGTTATGTGGTAACATCTGATACAACAATCCAGTCTCCTGTATATAAAACACGGTTTTTGGCTGATAATCGTTTAAATAATAAGGAAGAACATTTTGGTACCAAAGAGTTGGGGCATCCACTTGGGCAGTATGAGCTGCTTCTACAGGCTGAGCTCTGAAAACTAAACGGTACCTTGACTTGAAACGATCGAGCCAGCCATTACTGCATTTAAAATCACTATGTCCGAGCTTCTGGGCAAAATCATTGGCCTTGAGGCGCAGCATAGGACCGTTTACCGGCACATTCAAGCACTGAGCAATTCTGTACCATTTCATCAATGCCTCCTCCAGGTCAGCGTAAAAAGCAGTCCTTAGCCTTTTTCTTTTCGGATCAAATCGTAAAGATTCAAAGGCTTCCAAAACTTTTTCTTTATTCTTCATAATCGAAGACAAGGAATTCTTCTTTATGCCGTACTTGGCTGCGACGTCTGCCTTTTTTCTTGCCACTCTCCACGGCACTGATGATGTCAATTTTCTCCTCAATAGATATGCTTTTTTTCCTCCTCACCGCGCGTTCGGGCAGAGGACTCCCCGAGGCCTCTGCCATGGCACCGACCACCGACTTCCCGGCGCGCACCCCCACACGCGGGCGAGCACCCTGCGGCTCTGCCGCTGCGGGCGCCTTCGACCGAGCCGGTTTTCGAGACCGCCTCTGATCTCAGGGGCATGGCACTTGGCAGAGGCCGGAGCAGCCTCCCGACTGCAGCCGGCGGACACACGCCAGCGCCGCGGAGCAGCTTAATTCCGCCAATGCCTCGGCCGGGGAGCAGCCGGCCCTGAGCAGCAGGCCCAGAAGGGCGCCTCAGGCCCGAACGAGGAAGACGGCCTGCCCGCACGCCCGCCGACGGCCGGGCACGGCCGCCACCCCCGCCGTGACCGGTGTAACCCC